AGTACCAAAAACAGAACAGGAGGTTTCATGACACAAAGTGTTCAGGAAGTGCTACTCTAAACTCCCTGCATCTTACTACTCTATGTTTGGGAAGACACGTAGTAAAGTTGTTTAGTGGCTAAGAACACAGGCTGTATTCCACCTACACTCAAATTAGCTGTAAACTTAACCAGGTTAAATAAGTCTTTACTACACTTTCTAAACCTGTTCAAAAAGAGTATAGTAATACATACATTATGCTGGGTCTCAAAATGTTAAGTATCAAACTTAACATTAGTTTATTAGTAAGTGATGGGAAGAATTTAATAACAGTAGTTATTATTATTACTGCTTTCATATCTTAGAAAATAGCTTCCAAAGCTGGGAGTGGTAGTGCCCACCTATAATACCAAAATTTTGTTGGGGAAGTGAGGCAGAAAGATCACAAGTTTAAACCCAGCCTGAGCAACTAGCAATTTAATAAGACCCTGTCTCTCATAATAATAATAATAATAATAATAAGAAGAAGAAGAAGAAGAAGAAGAAGAAGTCCACATGAAAATCTATTTCTGGCAGCAATGAATTTAATGAACTAAACAAACATTGGTTGCTCCCTTCTAATTTAGAGATAAAGGTTGATTTAACATTTTAGTGGTATTACTTAGAGACTATATAAATTTAGTAGTATTACTTAGAGACTATATAAATATAAGATACATAATCAAGGAACTTTTGACCATACTGAAATACCATGAAAAAAGTACACAGCATATCTACATTTTTAAAGGAAAAAAAGTCTAGATTCTCAAAGGGAGTCAATAACTGACACAAAAAGTATTAAAGTTCAATGATCACTAGTCTACAGAAAACTCTAGTCAATTTTAAGAGGAACATCCATTTTAGTTCAGCTCTTGGGGCTGTAAATCTGTCTAAATTATTCCGTCTTCCTGGCTCAGTGAACACAATGAAGTGAAGAGCTTGGGATGTTTCATAATGTGATAGAGGGCTTCAGGGTCGGCGTTCTGCA